TGTCTTTTTTTTGTTATCTGTGTCTCGCTCTCTCTCTCTCTCTCTGTTTATTTATCTTTCGCTGTTTGTGTCTCCTCCTTGTCTTTTTGTTCTTTCCGTTTCACTTTCATGTCCTCTTGTTTTTATTTGTGCAATATCTTTGGTTTTGCCTTTCTCGCCCCTTCTGTCTTTCTCTCTTGTGTAAAGAGCACATTGGCCACCGAGCTTTTGAGGGTTGACCCCGCGAAAGTCCGCAGAGGGACCATTCGAACCATTGACTGGGGCCCGATGCTGCACATGTTTTTTGGCGAATGCGTATTATCACAGCTTATCCTGCACTGCTCCTTGTTGCCACTGATATCCTCTCATTGTGGCGAACAGGGATGAAGACCGGTATATATTCACATTGGGCAACATGGCTCAGCCGTTTGAGCGAAGTTTGGCTTGCGACACATTCTGGGCTTCGACACAGAGGAGTTTAACCGAACGCCAGAGTAAGATGCGGGTGTGCAGCCTCCAGCCCTCAGGCTGTAGGTATTAAGCTTGCGATCGGTGCGATAGGCAGGGAATGGGAAATTGAATGACCCGAATATAAACCATCCAACTGGTGGTTTCCTTTTACGGGACCCCTGGGTTCATTCCCTCATTCCCTACTGAGCACTAGCAAGTAAGTCATGCGGAAGAAATCACTCATAGCTTACGTGGAGGGCAGATCCTTTACATGTTTCACAGCTTGCGAGGGATTCGCACAGAGGTCCGGAGTGTACCAAGTACCAACTGACAACGTCGGCTCCAAGTTTGAGACAAGGGTACCTGATCTTGTGGCTAAGTGGTTGCAGGTGGTCGCCCAGCAGCCTCCTAGCTATGCTGTTCTGCATTTTTGGGGGTCTCAGCCGTCTGGGTTGGAGCATGGAAGCTGTAGATGGACGAAATCTATTTCGCACCACCTACGAAACCCTGGATTGATGATTCCCCTGTAAATACCAACAAACAATGGTTTGCCATGGTTTCCAGTGGTGCGAAGTGGATTTCGTCCATCCACAGCATGAGTTGCATGGAACTCCTGCACTACTTTGAAACCATGAGAAACCATGGTTCCCTGGTATGTGCAAGGGAATCATCATTCCCGTCTGAGTCGCATGGCTTGATTCGCACTGAGTTGCTGGCTCTCACTGGCTGGTTTTTTCGCGCGAGGAAGGTGAGCAAAGCGCTGGAGATCTACCAGGAGATGATTGGCCCCGATCTCAGCGCCAATTGACATGAGACTCTGAGATGGCAGTGGGTGAAAAATACGTACCCAAAATAGGACCCTGGTAAACAATGACTAAAACCTGCGGTGCCCTGGGATTTGAATTATGACCCATACCCAGATTCACATGTGAGATCATGGCCGTGGGTCAAAAGCCAAAAAGCCAAAAAGCCAAGAAGCCCGTGGCCTCAGTCCACGGGACCTAGCTTCCAATATGGGTGGTGAATGCACCGACCAAAATGGGATCCCAAGACGGTTTTGACAACCACAGTCACATGCTGTTTGGTCATAAGCAATCGGGAAAGCGCGCATGAGACGAGTCAAAGACTTCTGTGTGAAGTGGAGCCTTTGGACATCCACGTGAGCAATCGGCAGATATGAGTGAAGCCGTTGGTATCACTGGTGCAGGTCTGCGCAAACACTTGTACCTCATACTCCCTGTCAGGTTGGACGTAAATCACTGGCATGTAAGGAGAATAAAGCCCAAGGCATCGCCAATGGATATTATCTCCCGGCTCCCATCCGTATTTGTTTTTTTGTTTTTTTCTCCGGAGGCAAGGCTCCCTCTTGCCCTCTTGCCCACGCGTAGGTGAGCTGGGACGCTTGCCGGACCGGAAGGCTCACACTGTGTTGGTGGTCCTGGGCTCAGAGATCAGAGATTCGAATCGCTGGGAGCAAGAAATGGCCCGAGGGTCCCAGTTGGGCGCAAGAACAAGCACAGCCTTTGGATTTTCCAACAGGCAGCGCGCTATGAGCGTGCAGGCAAAATGCCCCAGTGAGAGCTACTCACCTGTTGGGTTGAGCCAATGGCAGCTTCTCTGGCAGCTTCTCTGATGGCACGAGAAAAACGGTTCTGCCAGAGTGTCCTTTTTGCACGAGAAGGCAGTTGCGACTTTTTTGTGCTCGTGAAAAACGTCTTTGAACCTCAGCATGCTTGGCAGATCTGCCCTTCTTAGGGCGAATTGTCATGATGTTGGCACATATCCGGTTTGCCACCAGAACCGTTCACAAGCTGGTTGCCATTGAGCAAGGCGCCTTGCCAGGCTGAACCGTGTTGTCCAACTCGCCCTGGGACGCCGCCTTTTCATACAAGTTCCTATTAAACAAGAACCTCCCGATGTGGTGAACGAGATTGTAAGCTTTCGGCTTCACGGAACACCAACATATCCACAATTGTGTTTTTTGTTGTCCTGGGCTATACATGGTTGTTGTTGGGAAACATGTTACGTTTTTGCGTATTGTGGTTTAGTGGGAAATCCCCACTTAGCTGCAAACAAATAATCTTTTGCTGCCCTTCCAACGTCATCCTGCACCACCTAAAAAACCCTGGGGTGATGCTTCCCCTGTAAATTCTAACAAACAATGGCTTGACACCATAGTGGTGCGAAATGGATTTCGTCCACCCACAGTATCCACAATAGTTGGTTCCCTTACTAAATTAAACTACAGAACAAAGTTGGTACCCTTATTCTAGCCTCTCTACTGGAGGACCTAATGTTTTTTTTCCCCCAGGCTCTGGTGGTTTCAGGTTTTGTGGTTGGAATCTCTCTCTTCACTTCTCCGAGGAGGGCTGCATGGCGGCTTCTGCCTTCGCAGAGGCGGTGATGGTGAGCCGCTGCGCGTATGGCTTCGGATCGCCGGAGGCTCAGAACATGATCCATGGAAGGTCCAAAACTCTGCTTGCTGCTGTTGGGTTAGATCTGTAGACTTTAACTTTTTGGTTGAAATCAAGGGGTTGTCCGTACTAAACCCACAAAAAGTTAAACTTTTTGCAGAGGGGTCAACAGCAACCAAGAAAATAGTCTCAGGGAAGTTGCTGAAAATTGAAGAGCTGAAGCAAACCGCAGGTGTTAGACTCAGCTTTATATCAAGGTGCCATCTTGGGTGCCATGTTTTGAGCCACAGAAGCCTCACATCAGCCTTTAGCCTGCGAGCTAGAAATGGTTCTCTGCCAGGTGACGCCTAGGCAGCAACCATCCCTCAAGCCAAAGCGCCGACAGGCCCAGGAATTCCAGCTACCTATAGAGCAGGTCACCGGCAATGTTCCTTTTGGTGTCTTGGTTACCTTTGGAGGGAAATGGAATCACTGGCTGGGGCAAGCTGGTTCGAGGATATTTTGTCACGACTGCGAAGGGAACACGTGCGAAGCATTCGCTGATCTTCTTGGCGGTTGCTTTCCGGAGTGGTGGGCAGGCTTAGGCACCTTGAGAGAGCTGGCGCTGACGGCGCGATACAAACACAAGTGAGAGGCACATAATCTTCAGCAAGCCTGCAAGAGCTTGCTATTTTTGACCTTCCGTGGCGCGAGTTCTTGCAGTTTTGCTCAACAAGTGTGCAGCTTTGTGAATGCACCTGGATCGAGTGAAGCAACTTGTGTTTGGGAGGTCCTTCTTGATCAAGGCAAGCAACCTCCAAACCGCACTCACTGCCGCTTACGGCAACTGCTCGCCGTTTTCATGCCCACGCTTTAGAAAGGAGCTCTATCCATCTAGGCTCTTAAGTGATGACCGCAAGCAACAAACCCATTCAGAGGGGCCTTAAAAAATTGGCTGCGCACAAGACTTTTTTTTCAGCTGAACGGGGCGTGGGGCACTGCTGAGGCGTCTTGAGCGAGGTTCGGATGGATTGTACATGTTGAGGTGCTGGAGGATAGCTGTGGTGCAATGGGTCGGCCTTGCACAAGGCTTGGCTTGGCTTCTATTCACCCTGTCCAACAGTTTGGCTTCTTCATTCCCATATCTTGACTTGGCCTTGGCACTGACTTCAAGCTATGGTACATCGCTGCAAGGGTTTTATCTACCCTTGCCTTAGGGATGTAGTTCCTGTAGCTCCAAGCCTCTTCCTTCCCCATGCCTCTGCTGACGGGGAGCACACTCTGTGTAGCTCTTGGCCTCCTTTCCACCCCCCCCTTCTCCGTGGCTCTGCCGACGGCTGCCCCCCTGCCTTTCCTTGCTAAAGGGGACAACTATGAGCTGGCAACAACGCCCAACATTGCGCAAAGGGAAATGGCTAGCGGAGGAAGCCCAAATGGGTGGCTCGTCTTTTTGGAGGGTACACTTTTCTGGTAAAGGAAAACCAAGAGGAATACCGCCAGAGTGGGGGGTCCCCAATTGAGAGACAGACCCAACTCTCATCGGTTCGCATCACATGTTCGATGCTCTCGAGAGTGAGAGCCCCAGTTCCCGCTTCCCTAGGCCGGAGCTAGCGGTGAGAAGAGACTCGCAGTGGGCGCGGGCGTCAGTGGATCTTTAGTTTTCCCAGCAGCGGATCTTCTGAGAAGGGGCCAGTCCCCCTGCGTTTGTGTTTCAATACAACATGGGACTCCCAACATGACTGATACCTTGACATGCGCTTCCACGCGGAAAGTCCACGATTGCGAGGAAGCATGTTTTTTTGGCATGGCAGTGAGAGGGAGAGCGCCTGTTTAAGCCTTGGTTCTCGTAGCTTGTGAGCTCAGCCTCAAACAGACTGCAGGTCATCGCACCAGAGTTCCTGGCCCGCAATGGGCTGCATTCAACCGTATGGCCATGGGTCAAAGGCCCAATGGTACCCCCAGTGAACATCCCAATCCAACCACTAAAATAGACTAAAACGGGTCGTGCACCTACCAACCAAAATGGTACCATTGGTGTTGACCCACGGCCATATCCCACCCCTTGCCTATGGCAATCGCCTTAAATTTCTGGGACCCCTCGATTCATTGGCGTGAGGTTCAATCCCCCAATGAAAGGAGCGGCATCGCAAGTCTTTCTTTTCACATGCCTGCTGTGGATGGACAGAATCCACTTCGCACCACTTTGAAACCAGGGGAAACCATTGTTGGTTGGTATTTACAGGGGAATCGTCATTCCAGGGTTTCTTAGGTGGTGCAGGATTTCGTCCATCCACAGTACGCAGGGCTTGCAAATGTCCCAGGATGTCCAAGGTACAAATCCGTCATGTTACCCTTCTTGCCGTGGCTCTTAGATCATTGATACTCTACTTGGGCCCAGGACGAAACTGCGGGAAGACGGTTTTGAGGGACTGGACGTGACTGGACACGTCCCAGACTCGGCGGACTGCCTCTAGCGAACTTGTGCCGGAAGGTCGGTCTGGAGCCAAAGGCGCTGTCGGACCTGGCCAACAAGGCGGCCCGGTTTGATGCCGATGGGGACCCCGCAGGTTGCCACAAAAGGGATAGCTCCCTCCTCCCCCCACCAGCTGGCTCGCGGGTTTGGTTCTTGTGGCTCGATTTTTTGCCGCGCCCGGCTTGAGACGTGTTTTTTTGGCACCCTTCACATAATTAATGTGCTTCCTGAGATCTATTGTAGCTTGGCGGTCCCAGCCGACCCCTTGGGTTTTGTAGGTTTTAGTGTTTAGTGGGGCTTTCCATTCAACCCGCTAAAATTGTCAAACATTTAGCAGGGGATTTGAGACAGCTCTAGGTCGGTTGGGATCGCAATATGGTCCTGAGTGATGAGAGTTGAATATATCGTTCAACAGTTTATTTACAACTTTAAACACTCACCTCACATATGCGTCATAGTCAATAACCAGGCATCGGACCGCAGGTTTGGTCCATGTGTCCATTTACGAGGGTGCGATTTGTGGGTTTCCCTTTTTGTTGACCCAGGGCCACGAAGGAACACCCGAAAAAATCGGTCAACCACCAAAGACTCGGCGAGCCGAAACGACGCGGCGGCAGGTGAGGGCCGGCAAGATGGACGCGGAGAGTTGGGAGCGTGCCATGGAGGCCGGTTGGCGGCGCGGCGCGGCGATCCAGAAGTTTCGGGTGAGAAGCATGGCTTGGTTTCCTAGGTCCCCCAGCTAGGTGCCAACTTTTGGTTGGGAGGGTTCCCCGACTAAATTCGACTGCAGAAAAAAGGGTTCCCTTATTCTAACCTCTCTACTGGAGGACCGGGTTGGGACCATGTTGAGTGGTAAACAAAAAGTTGGGTTACGTTATGTTACCTTTTCGGACAGTGAGTAAGATGGCTTCAGTGTCCATTTCCGTGATACTCTGGGCGAAATCCTGCGCCAGTTGACAGGTCAGTTGTCTAAAGATTTACATCCCGACTGGTTGAGGATTTGGTCGATCCACAGTTCCAGGCAGATTCCCTGTAATGTGATTAAGCAGTCATGGGATGGCCCGTTTTGGTCTCAGAGGAATTGTTTCTCCCACAACCATGTCTTGAATTTGGTGCTTCGTTGAAGCTTTTGAGGGTACCCACTGTTTGTTGGGCTTCGTGTGCTTTTTGGAGAGCCCCTTGTTGTGGTGATTTGAAGGGGGGCTTTTCTTGCATGAAATTCATCCAATATGAGCAATTGTCAACCTAGCTGTCGTTTGCTGGTCCCAGAGCGGATCCCGAGAAGCTTTGCATGGTTGTTGTTGGCAACAGTGCCCAGCCTCGCATCTTGTGAAGCCCACGGTCGATCTGGGGTCCGCGGCCCGTCAAAACTTGCGCAATGAGAATGAGAATTGGCCGGGCGGCGACCCATCGCTGCCAGATGGACAGCTATGTGGCTGGTCGCTTCTTGTGCTCCGGGAGTATGGTTCACGCTGCATTGAGAGATGTCTTGGTTTCGCTCAAGAGAGTAGTCGATGCACTCGCGAGTGATCACGGGGCGTCGTGCTGGTGCCAGGGACTTTGAGTTCTACGTTGCGAGTTCCGCTCATCACTAAGGGCAGCATGAAAAATTTGGATGGCTGAGTCGAGCGGCGATGGGTCTGAATCGCTTCATTTTAGCCGTGGAGTAGTGCTCAGTCAGGCGCTTGTCAGTGATCACGCTTCCTACACTGGGCATTTGTTGGAAGCGTTTGCGACCCAAGATAGACATTTGGAGCGGAGTATCAACTAGTTGGTAACCATTGTGCGAAAGGGAGTCTTGTCTTATCCACGAAGTACACTGGCATCTTGGTTGGGCTGTTGTTTTCCCCGTCCCGCAAAAACGGCAACGACCATGTTGACAAGGAAGGTTGTTTTTGTGGCGCTCCCCAAAAAGTTCATCAGGAGTGAAGGTTCTGTTTCAAGTCGCATCAACTAACTGCAGCAGGTTTCCACAGTTTCCTTCTGATCGTACCCGCCAATTTCTTCCTAGCGAAATGGCGAGCCCATCGGCCGACAATCAGTCGAACCCTCGGATGTTGCTACGACCTGGGCGGAGACTTAAAACATCCCAGAGGGGTGAGTGTGTGTTGGCTGAATGGCCTACAGAGCCTGGACAAGCCTGCTGTGTTCGGTATGTGGATGCAGTATTGCAGGGCTCCTTAAAAGATACATTTTGCCCATTTGAAACATGGCTTTTTCCCCCAAAATAAAGGAAACCACCATTTACAAGGCAATGTTCAGGTGTATAAAGTAAGGATCCCTGTATTGGGATGATTCCGACACATGCCGTTCGCCCTATTGGGATTGGGGCTGACAACCATGGGAATGATTCCGCGTTCGCCAACCAGTGCCAGCCTCGTGGTTTCTTTGCCACTGAGCATCGGAATGCATCTGGCTGGGCGAAGTGATGAGCATGGTAGCCAATCAGCAAAGTTATGGCTGGACTTAGGTTGACCTCGCGGTTCATTTAAATTGAAATGAACCCAGGGCCAGGGGTGCTTGTACATCCCCCTTTACATACCCCTTGGGCAAATGAACCCAAAAGGCTTGCTGATATTCATTCCTCTCCCTGAAAGGGTATATACCCCTTATAAAGTGGGTTAGAAACCAGGGAAGCCAAGCGGTATGAATACGGGGTACTTCCACCCTTAGAATGAAGGGCTAACCCGTCATGGTTGTTGTTGGGAAGCATTTCACATTTTTGCTTAGTGTGGTTTAGCGGGAAATCGAACCACTTAACTGCTAAAATCTAAGAAGCCAACCACAGGAAGTTCTACAGGAAATGCCTGATTTTGGTGGTAATTTGGCTAGTTTCCTGTAGAGTTTCCTGTAGCTGGTTTCTATGACAACAAAAATACATTTTTGCGCCCCTTCCAACGTCCACCAAGCTGTTGTTTGGTTCGTCCCAGCCCGAACTCCAGGTGTTCGACGTGGCAGACCCCAGCGGGAAGTTGCGCGCCAAAGCCAGCCCGGAGCCGAGCAAAGGGTTCCTAGGAAAATGTGTCGGTCGCGTTTTTTTGCTTTTGTTTTTCAACCACCAGAGGACCAAACTGGTTGGGTTTCCTTGCGGCTTGCGTGGTTGTGGGCGATTATTTTTAGGGCAACCTTGTCGATCATGGCAACCTGTTTTTTCCCTTTTTGCATGGTTGGGTCTCCGTCAAGCTCATACTGACCGCAAACAGAAGTGGTGTTTGGGTGCAAAAGTTTGGTCAAGTGCAAAACAGTGTGGGCTAGCAAGTTGACCCAACACCTTTATGTCAGAGCATAGGTGGTCCTGGTTGCCCCAGTTGAACAGTTGGGCTGTAGAGCTAAAAATCAGCCGCAAGCAGCGAAGGAAGCAAAGATCTCTGGGAATGAGGACTGCATTATTTTGCCAGGAAGTCTAATTTTTGGCTTCTGAGAGGCATTGTTCCATCATCAAAAGACCTGCTTAATTGAAGGATGGTCGTGCATGCTTGTCTTGGATTTTGGCACCCAGCGTGATTCCTAAAACGGGAACATGACCATGCCCCACATACCGGGCCAGGGGGTGGTTGTGCACGTCATGAGTTTGCATCCCGCTGGTGGCTGGCGCATGCCATCGCCTTTCTTCATGCCCCGAGGTCCTTGTATTCAAAGGTCGAACCTCTGATTGATTCTAGGTCCCCCAGCTAGGTGCCCTTTTGCCCTTTTCTGGGGGAGGGTTCCCCTACTAAAATAGACTACAGAAAAAGGGTACCCTTATTCTAACCTCTCTGCTGGAGGACCTAGGATTGGTTGATCGGGGTGGTTCTGCCACATGAGTTTGTCGCCAAACAGGGGAACCCTCCAGAATGGCCGGCGTCCTTTTGGTTTCTCTTGAAACCAACCCCAAAAGTGGTACCACTGAAAAAAACCGTGGTTATAAGTCTCCTATGTGGGTTATAACATAACCAGGCTTACTAACCACTTACCAAGTACCATGCCCTTTAAGCAGTGGGTGTGTCCAAAACCCAGCATCAGCCCAGGCGCGCCCCCGGAGCGAAAAGAGAAGGCCCGCGCCCTCGATGGGTCCAGGTCCGGGAGGATTCTGGCAGCGAAAGAGCTTGCAGTTGGATGTTACGTCTTGTTTTTGCAAAATACAGGTGAGGGTGTGTGTTTTTAGGGGGGCGCCAACAAAATACGGTTTTCGTTTTGGCTTCCCTTCAAATCCACCAACACAGGGGTACCCTGAAAATACGACAAACCCATGCGAGTACCTAACAAGTTACGGGAAGTTGAGTGGTTCCGATCTCCAGGGTTCTGGTTGACAAGCCCCTAGTTTTTGTACAAAATGGGGTCAACTCACTCCCTGAGTTCATGGACTTTATACTTTTTGGGAAGACCATTTTGGCGGTAAACAAAAAGTTTGGACTTTTTTTGGCCAATCAACTCAGGAAGTGAGTCAAACATTGAAGTTTCATGGCCAGTTGAAAGGGTTCCCTGAGTTTTTTCGCAATGCTGATGGCATGGCTGTGGCTCAAAAAAAATGTACAACAGTGGCACCTGGCCAAATGGAATTGAACACTAAAACATGCTTAGCCCTAGGTCTTTAATTTTAAGCCACACCCACATGTTCTGACACCTGCTGGTTGGTTGCAATGTGGTTTCTACTGTCCATGACTGGGGCAGGACAGTCTGGGATTGTGTCCCTATCGCGCTACCTGAAGTCTTATGCAAACCAACAGAGCCTATAGCAGAATGCATGCCCAAAATGGCCACTGCAAAGCCGATCTGCGTCAAAAAGCCAAGCGTGGGCAGCAAAAGGTCATGCTGTCAGCGTGTTGCATTGGAAGCTGTCACATAGACACGCCGAGTTTTCCGTCCCGCATGTGCCGCATGGTTTCAGCTGTCCCGTCAAAGTCAGCAGCTTTGAACTTCTCGTGTTCGTGCACAGAGACTGGCCTCAAAATTTCGCTGACGTTTGGGGGGTCTGTTGTGTCGAGAAGTTGGGAGTTTCTCACAGACAGCCCTTGGACCTCGGAGATTGAAGTCCTGTGGTTCGCAACTAGGACTGAACCACTCGCGGTGGAGAGCTGGGCCTTTCCCGAAGCCTTCACGCTGCCCTAAGACTGTTTTCTGAATTTGGGGCCCTTGGCCGCCTGACCGGATGGGGCCGACCTTGCCCACTTTCTGCTTGTGGAGCATCTGACTGACCAATTTCAGGGAGAATCGTTACTTTCAAAATGGTACTTAGCCCAGCCGACCATGTTCTTTGACCGGTGCCCTGAAAACTCCACGGTGGGGCAGCTATACCAGGAGTCGGACTATAGATGGGAAGGTCGCGAAGAGCCCAGCAGCCGCTCGGTACTGTTTGAAGCTCGCAACGAACTGTTGAAGAGGCACATTGCGACTGGTGGCATGGTGGTTGGAATGAAGTTTGCGCTGTTGCCTAAAGAGCGCGGGTCAATGGAGTCAAGGATCGCCAAGGATGGTCTTGTATCATTCGACGGACCATGTTGGTGGGGTTCTCGGCATTAGTAGGAATGGCAGCGCAAAATCCTTCTCAGAGCAAGATAATTGACGATGTAACCAGCAGCAGGTGACAATCTCCTGTGCACGGAGTCATGAGCCATGGCGCAATGTGAAGGTTGCAATGCTCCAAAGAACCCATGCGAACTGAATGCTTAACTCCACCTCCCCAAGACCACTTGTGTTGATGGCCGCTTACTGTAAGTGAAAAGCACCCCCTTTGCCGCGGCGCCCGAAGCCAAATCGGTTTGAAGCCATGTCTAAGAATCGCTTTTGAACATAGGAGATGTGGAGCTCGGCATGTGCACGGAAGTTTAACCTTGTTGTCATCGTGCCATTGAGGGTGTTGTAAGTGCAAATTGCCATCACGGCCGAACCAGTCAGCAGAGCTCCCAACTTGAAACGGTCAGGGGTCTAAATTGCAGAGAGAGGGCATGGCCGATTGGGCTCTCCGACATGCTATTCCAATGCCCCAGGCAGCTGGTTCATTGCTGAGAGAGTCTGAATGCGGTCCTGTAGGTATCACAATCACCAAAACCGACATCGGTGTCCCCTCGTAGACCAGCCATCGTGCCAACCAATGAGCCCACACCCATGGTCAACGCAATCCAAGGTAGAAGACAAGCTCAGGCCGGGATATTTTGCTTCTGGCAAACGGTGGCTCTCTGTGTGGACGCTTATGCCACCCATGACTGTCATGACTCTGCCAAGGTTTCAACAACTAGACACTACGTAGGCTTCATGGCAATGGTGATGAACCCTCACACACTGTTTGGACAACCATTGTATGCAGTTGCAATCCAGGCACAGCCTATTGTTGACATTGATTTGTTTGCCGACAACTCACAGATTCCGATGAATCTCAGGTTCGTTTTATTGACTCTGCATGTGCACAACTCATGAGGCTCAAACCATTTTGGGCTAGCTGCCTGCCAGTCGTCTGCATTCCAGTGTTTTTTGCTTAAGTCTCAGGCTGCAAGACTTGAGATAATAAGAGCCAACGACACGGAACCGAACAACCAAACACACAAGCAAACAAGCAAACAAGCAAGCAAGCAAGCAAGCAGCCAGCCAGCCAGCCAGCCAGCCAACCAACCAACCAACCAGCCAGCCAGCCAGCCAACCAACCAACCAGCCAGCCAGCCAGCCAACCAACCATCCAGCCAGCCAACCAACCAACCCATGGAATCTCTGCGCATGTCAACTCTCCGGACAGGACCGCGACTGGCAGTCCTGGAGCTGGGGGTCCTGGGAAGGCGACCGCAACTCCTGGCGAGGCGAAGTGGGGGGGGGGGCGGGGGGCAGTGCTGCCGGTGCTTGGGAATCACCTTAGCGCACATGGCGTTCTTGAGAACATGGAAGAGCGTCCCCAGTAGTGTTGTTTTGTACCAAAATAGACTACAGGAAAAATGGGTATCCTTATTGTAACCTCTCTACTGGAGGACCTAGCTCAGTACCCTTAGTGTTAGATTGTTGTCGCCATTGATTTTCACTTCGTCAGCGTGCGTAAAGTGTTTGTATGAATGTTCACAGATTGTTGGCAAATGGGCAGCCGTCTAAGTGCCCTGCAATTGAAAGTAGTATTCGGGAGGAATATGGAGTTGAACTTGTGTTTGAGGTCGCGGAAGGCCGCGGAAGGGTTGGACTTGCCCATGCGCAAAGCGCCCTCCGGACGGCCTTTACGAAGTTTTTGCGGTACTGGAACCGCAAGGACGGCGCAGACAGGGTGTGGCGTGGTCCCTTGTCGGTGTGGCAACTCACTCCCGGAGTTCCCGGACTTTAAGCTTTTTTGGGAAGACCATTTCAGTGGTAAAACAAAAACATAGTTTGGACTCAATCCATCTTGAGTGTGGCGAACATGATGCAAACAGAGGCAAAGTCCAATCTAGAAAGTAAAGCAAGGTCCAAGACATCCAGCTACAGATCTTCGTTTGGATGCTTATGTAGCTTGGCGCTTGAAACCTGCGGCTGGTTGAGAAGTAGCACAAAAGGAATATGAAAATGCCAGGCGATCGCACCGCCTAAGCTCCGCGAAAGCTCCGCGTTGAGGGTCCCCGGCCCACAACTTTTTCCTTGGCGTCAGCGTGAGGTTGCTGCAGCTGGGGATCGACACCGTCCACAGCTTGCTGGGATCATATGGATGCCTTTGTCTTCCACACGTTGAAAAACTCTACTTTTGTGGTTTAGCAGTGTTCGCGCAAGCAAAACCACATGAAATCTCACTTTCACGAGAAAACTGAAACCGCGTAAGCGCTGTGTAGGCGTTTGCTATGTAGAAACTACTCGGGTGAGCTACCCTTGCAGCCGTGGAGGGCCCGCCTAGGCCCTCGCGAAAGGAGTTTGTTAGTGTCTCTCTCTCTCTCACTCTCGCACAATGGAAAGGTGATGCCATCTAAAGTAGAAGTGACGCAAGTGCTTGCGCCGCTTTCCTGATGGCCAATCACCATGACTTGAGTAATCCCTTTCCCTTTTGCTAATCGCATCCTATTAATAAGGACCGTTTTCCGCAGACCGTCAGGCCCCCAATACTCCAGTTTATGTTGAACGCGCTAATACCAAACTAATACTAAACTGGCTGATTTCTCGCTCGGCCCGAGCCCAGAATACGCCAAGACCAATACTAAATACCAACCAAACCAATACTAAACCAATACTAAAACCAGTACAAAACCAATACTAAACCAATGCCAAACTAAAGTTCAAAGCAATTAAACACCAGGACAAAACCAAAAACTGCCTTGTTTTCAACTATTAACATGTCCTACTCGGAAATTGCCGTTTGAAGGTCATTTTTGGACGAGGACCATAGGAGAAAAATCGACCCCTAGTTCCCTGTTAATAAATATCGTTCTGGCCCCAGATAGCATGTATTTAAGGGGGATTTATCATTAGGGGGCAGGGATTTCACAGTTGTGTTTTTTTTTTGTCTGGCCTTAAATCTGCAGTGAGAGGGCTTTGGATGTAGTCCCCCCATTCGAGTTTGAGTCTTGGTGCTAGGCGAGTGGAAAGAACGAGGCGCTATGCTCAGCTGGCTTCGACATTCATCCAACGGAAGGCCGTGCTTTCGGTGAACTTGTTTGCTCGGAGACATGCCACGAATGTTCTTTTTTGAGACATGTAGATGACAATGTGCACAAATACGGCGCCAGCGCTTGTGTATCGTGTTGCTTGCCAGATACTACACGTTGCTTTGTCCAAAGAGGCGTACTGAACAGGCATGACAGCAGATAATGCCCTTGCCATGCGAACTGATCGTGAAGTGATGTACTGCGAACAGACATGTCATGAGAACCACTTGTTGCAGCATCAGTTGTCTCACCCACACATTCCCACACAAGTGGTTTCTCAATCATTTGTTCTACACTACTGACGCGTTGTTCCAAATACATTGTCCATATGAGGCATAGTTTACGGCTTTCGTGGAAGTCTATACACTAAGTATAACAGTATAGAACTAGTGGTTTGCAACGCATCATTGTGATTTGACGCCCCACCTTATGTGATCAGTGTTCTTGGCGTTTCCCAAGCGTCCCCTTAGATTCCAGGTAGCAGACAAAAGGTCAAACTTTTCGCAGGGGATCTGCTTGGACAGCCCAGTGATGCAGTTGTTGGGTCGCAAGCCGAATAGGGCGATACCAGCCGGTAGCCTCTGAGGCTAGTCCCAGAGGCGCGGGAAACGTCGCCTCGCGAGCCGGGAATTTCATATGGCGCGCCTCGTTTTGCGGCACTTCGGGAATAAATCCACACAGGGGTCCCACCAATTCCCCGTTTTGGACCTCCAAAAGTGGCACTTTCAACGGACATCTCCAGTAAAAGGAGCGCAACGGTTGAGGGGGGGAAATCCAGTGACCCCTGGCACAAGCATTCTCCAGTTGCCTGGAATTCCGGAGTGTTGGGAAGCCGCTTGTAGTTGCATGGGGGTTGCGGGTCTCCTTTCCTCTTGAAACCCTCGGGCTTCCGAAGCCAAGGGATTCCTGGGGCTGACGATCGGAAGATCCCCTCGAAGGGGTTGGCTTATGGTGCTGGGAGTATGGCACTGGTTGCAGCTGAGGGGATGCATCGGATGCAGCTTTGTGAAAAGGGGGGCAATGTTCCAATGCATACCCCGTGGCGGGTGGAAGGAAGGCAGATCAAATTCACCACCCCAAGAGCAGACTCTTTGTCAGTTGGGAGGAAGGGGGTCCTATTTCTGCAAACAATCTCGGCTTGTGAGGATTATCAGGATAAATGTGGTGCTTCAAATGTTGATAAGGTTGCTTTCCCGCAAGAGCAGATCATCCCAAGAGTGGAGTACGTTGCCAGAAATGGTGCTGCCAATCATCAATGGCCGCGCAGAAAGCCAGCTTTCTCGTCACTACGAAGGAAGAATTACTGTTCAAAGTTATTGCGGCGAAGATTCCGGGAAGGTGTGGCTTAACTTTGCAGCGAAATAGAATTTCCGTAAATGATGAAACCACAATTGGGCAACGAATGTGTCAAAAAGCCTGGCATAGCGGCAATCCCCGAGTTCCTGATCCGTCTAAGTTCGGCCAACGAGTATTGAGATTAAGTATGTGGATGCGTCTTTTTTGAGGGACCTCCCAAATTGGTGGTTTTCCTTGTGGCTTCCCTTTAAAACCACCCCAAAAGTTGGAAACACGCCCACTCACGTTGAAACTGGCTTTTCCAGGGTAATACAGAGACCTCAACATGGGATTCCAAATCCTTTTTGTTGAGGCATACCTGTATTCATGCTCAGTGACAGAACATGTACGCAATGGCATCAATCAAGGTGTGCGCCGCACAACTTGCTGTTGCTTTCGACCAGAGCAAGAAGGGCCTTCACTTTGTTGGCCATTGCGATGGCAGCAGATGCACCTCACTCGCCGAGCTTCAGGAAGAAAGCTTAGGTTTTGCTCACGTTGAATTATTGGGCGAGCACGTCTTGAAGCACAGCTTGATGTGGGTGTTCCATGCACATTCGTTACAGACCTCGTTACAGACCTCTTGAACAAGACCCGCTGGCTCGTTACACGCCCCTCGTTACACACCCTCGTTACACAGCTCAGATAAACAAACCGGGCCTGTGACTGCCCTCTTTGCCGCAGCTTGGCTTGCGTTGAATAGCTGCAATCAAGCTAGAGCTGTGGAGGCGCTTTGCGTACAGCGCTTTGCTTTGCCCCGTTACAAACCTCGATACATAGCCGTTACATACCTCGTTATAGACCCAACCCCAGCCCGGGCCAGCGACCCAACTTTTTGCCGCCGCTTGGCTTGCGTTGAATAGCTGCAATCAAGCTGGAGCTGCGGAGGCGGGCTTTGCGTGCCGCGCTTTGCTTTGCCTCGCTACAGAGCTCGTTAACAGCCGTTAAATACCTCGTTACAGACCCAACCCCAGCCCGGGCCAGTGTCCCCCCTTTTTGCCATCGCTTGTCTTTGTGTCGGCAGTTGCAAATTTCAAGCTAGGAGGCGTGCTTCGCGTACAGCGCTTGTACTGTACGACTTTCGAGCAGGAGCTGCTGCTCTTCGTTGTTCTGCGCTACATTGCGCTACTGATACTGCTTGTCAAGAAATGTTTTCCCGTTACAAACCTGCTAGCAAGGGCCTCCGTTACAGACCTCCGTAACAAGATTCGTGGCGCGCCGCGCGTTACACACACCCCCAAAAAAACATAGCCAAAGATGTGGACAGTCCGCCTCAGCACTTCAGTTTGATTGATGCCTGGCTGGCTTTCCGGAGCCCGAAGAAAGCTTGCCAGGGGTGCGGCCCTTCTGCTCGCGTGCCAACGCTCACTGGAAGAAGAGGTTTCGCGCCAGGGCGATGGGTCCGCCTTAGAGGGCCAGGGCACTTGGTGAGTGATGCAAGTGGTCAGTAAGCCTCGCTATAGCCCTGTCAGGAGACTTAGAACGATAAGTGGGTTGTATCCAGGCTTACTATCTCTCCACTGACAAAGTACCCGATCACCCCTTGAAGCAGGGAGAGAAGCTGCCAAGGCCCGGGGATGTTTAGGGGTTGTGTTTGCATGGGCGATTCTCTTGCGCAAGGTGCCCACTTAGGCATTGGGAGTCGTTCATTGTCAAGACATTCACCAGAAGGGGCGAAAGTGCAGAAAGATGCGGCAAAGTTCAAGCATTTGCTGAAAAAAAACGAAGCCCCGAAGGTGCTGGTGCGGGTCCCATCAGCTGTTATAGGGCTTGGGCTGGTTGGGTGCTGAAGATCTGAGGAACTCCCGCGTTAAAGACGTTAAAATGGGTGTTGTTTTTTTAGGGGGACCCCCCAAAATTGTGTTTTTCCTTTTGGTTTCCCTTTAAACCACCCCCAAAGAGGGTACCCTCAAAACAAAGCACAGAGCTCAGCCCGTCGTTTGGTAGCTCTTGGGCCCTGGTCCTTCTTGATCGAGACTCTGAGTTTACCACCGCAGCGGTCGGCTCAACAGGGGCCTGCATCACGCTTGAAAGGCCTCAACACTTGAGGTCCACATGATTTGGGTAATGTTGTCAACTTCAGTTTGCTAGAGCTACTCCATCTTCGGATTCTGAATGTGCAGCTCTCGCCATGTGCCAACTACGAGAGCTACTCACCCTAGGATTCAAGCCCGGCGGGCGCTTTTCGGCGCAGTGTCCTCTTCTTCTTTTTTTTCACAGCCGCCGCATGTCACGAGCACCCAGCCGCGGGATCTGAAACCATGGATGCGGGGGAGGAGGACAGTTGCGCGAGCCGGGAACAGGAAAGGTGCCCAAAGCAAATGGCCATGAATGTTAATGGTTGGATTCCCCTAAAAAGTGGTTGGTGGAGCGGTGGAGCGGGAACCCCCCTAAAAAGTGGCTTGTGGACATAAATCCCCACCTGTTCACCAAAGGGTCCCTAATTAAAATTCATACCCAAATCAATCTGTCGACCTTTTGGTTTCCTCGTTGCTGCTTGTTAGTTTTCCCACGACGCTCCCGGTCAGTGGCACAACAGCAGTTTCGGGCGATGGCTGAAAGTTCAGGGGACGCATCCATACCGCTTGAAGCTTAGTAGGGAACGCTTGTGCGTGCACGGGCGGATGCTGATCAACCCCCCCCCCGCGGTGCAACGACAGTCGCCACGCTTAAAGGTCAACATCAACATTTATTTGGGTGTGTCTTTGTCTGGGCGTAAGTCATGTTTGTGGTTTGTAACTGGAACCAAAAGGACAACCACCATGTATTTTAGCATGTATTACTGTTTTTTTGTTTGGCGGGGGGGTCCCTGGAAAAAGAACACACCCATTTGAAAAGGATGGTATTCCCTTGCTGGGTCCACATTCATTCCGGAGGAAGCGGCGCGCCTCAGAAAGGAGCGTTCCTTGCTCTTGGGCGCCTCGGCCACATACGAAGCCATCTGTTAGAGAAGCCACTTCAGTAGAGACTGGAAAGGCAGGATGTGAAGGTTTCTTGCGATCGGTGCGATAGCCTCCCGGGCGAATGAACGGCTTTTAGACTCCCGATTTTTTTGAAACACCAAACCGGATGGATGGTTTATCTCAGGCCCCCCTATCCAAGCGAGCGCAAGCTTTGGAGGGAAGACGTGAGCACTTGCCTTTCGTTGGACCAGTGAGGTGAGCTGGGCACGATGCGGGCCAAGTTCGCCGTAGCCTCGGAAAGGATGCTTAGGCGCGGTCAAGATGTGTCCCTTCCATTTTTTTTGGGACTCACTTTGAGAATTGCGAGACGATGAATCGAACAAAGCTGTTTGATCGCTGGGAAAGAGAAGGGAATTCCCAAGTTACCTGAGGTGAATGTAAACAATCATTTGCCCTTCGCCTGGGCATTGACCTGTAGGGCGCCCTGCGAATCGCCGATTTTTTCAGAGGAGGCAGCCCGGTGAATTTCTGAAATTAGCGGTCTAAGGGGCCCCTCTTGGCAGCTGGAATTTTGAATTTTCTAGCTGTGTTTGTTCTTGTTTTTGAGGCGGCCCCAATGCTCATGTCATGTAAATCCTAGCTGCGCGAGAGGCTTCGCCCCATTGGCCCATCCGTGGGACTTGGGGTCGCTTTTTTGTCTTCTGCTTTTCTCGTTTTTTCGGGACACCGGCCGAAGTCCCTTTTGGCATGACATGCGAAAGGCAAGGAAACCAAAAAGGTGCAGCCAGCCTAAGAGGATACCACCGGGGACGTCCTTGCCGTTCAGCCTGAATCGGGCCTTGACCATGGAGCTCTTTTCGTTGATATCATGCCGAAGCCCACCTGCCTGGTGGACCTGGCAATTGTCTGAAGCACGTTAAGTTGTGGACAGGCAATGAGCTTCCAGTTGCTTAAGAACAACTTTTTTGTTATTTTCCCTGGGACAATTATTATTTTTTCATTTTTCCCATTGGCAAAGAAGCCAATGGAAGTGAGCGGCTCAGAGTGCACCGAGGAGTTGACGCTGCAGACGCTGCAGTCCTTGGTTGGGGTGGAGGGCTGTAGCTGGGCAGAGCTTCTCGCGCCTCGGGCTAGAATCGAAGCGATTCCCGATTCGCGCCCTTCTAGTTGGCTAGGTAAAACAGCGTTTGAGTTGGCATAAACGAGTGCAGATGTATTACCCATTTGCCCTCGGAATATATTTAGGTTGTTTGTCGACTCCCGTACCACCTTTGATTGACTCCAGCTCAGCACTGCCGACTTGCCTGAGGGAATCAAACGTTGTGGTGACTTTGTGTGCTCGGAGCGTGATTCCAGGGTTTGCAGAAGTCTATGTGTATGGGTGCTGTTTGATTGTTTTGTTTTGTCTTTGTCTTTGTCTTTGTCTTTGTCTTTGTGTGTGTTTCTGCGTGTGTTTCGGCGTGTGTGTGTGTGTGTGGGTGTGGGTGTGGGTGTGGTGTGCGTGTGCGTGTGCGTGTGCGTGTGCGTGTGCGTGTGCGTGTGCGTGTGCGTGTGCGTGTGCGTGTGCGTGTGCGTGTGCGTGTGCGTGTGCGTGTGCGTGTGCGTGTGCGTGTGCGTGTGCGTGTGCGTGTGCGTGTGCGTGTGCGTGTGCGTGTGCGTGTGCGTGTGCGTGTGCGTGTGCGTGTGCGTGTGCGTGTGCGTGTGCGTGTGCGTGTGCGTGTGCGTGTGCGTGTGCGTGTGCGTGTGCGTGTGCGTGTGCGTGTGCGTGTGCGTGTGCGTGTGCGTGTGCGTGTGCGTGTGCGTGTGCGTGTGCGTGTGCGTGTGTGTGTGTGTGGTGTGGGTGTGGGTGTGGGTGTGGGTGTGGGTGTGGGTGTGGGTGTGGGTGTGGGTGTGGGTGTGGGTGTGGGTGTGGGTGTGGGTGTGGGTGTGCGTGTGTGTGTGTGTGTGTTTTTTTGAAATGTGCGCAACTAGAGTAGAGCAAAGACTTTCGCCTCAACCACGAGCACTTCCAACCCAACAGACCTAACTCCATTTTTCGCGACGCGCAATGACCGGTACGCTGGGCTGGCAAGCCACGCAAGCTGCGGAATGGCATGGGGTGCTTCCCTTTTTCGGCGGCCGAGCATGGGCCATGCGGCTTGCAACCAACTTCCATTTGCTGAAATGAACATTTGATGAGTTTTCCCCGGTTGGTCTTAAAGCAAAACGCTCTCACTACTGGACGGTTGTTGTTGTTGTTGTTGTTGTTGTTTGATTTTCCCTTGCTTTTTTTTAGAGGAAATCGATTATACTACTGGACAAATAGTTTTTTTCAGTGGACCTAAAAGTGCAAGCCGAGGAACGCGTGGAGTCGCTCGTTCGCCTCGCGGAGGGCCGCAAAAGCAAGGCCGGACTCCGCGGGGGTGGGGTGAGGTTGTGGCTTTGACTCCGTGGTAACTTTGGGGCATGTTTCCAAGGGATGTTAGGCAACGAACGGGTTTTCTGAAGGAACACAAAAACTAAAACTTAAACTTGTAGAAGGGGAGCAGAAAGCAACCGAGATGTAAAGTGGGTCTCGAGATCCGCCTCGTTTGCTGGGGAAGGGGGTTGCCCCCGCGGTTTTGCCATGGGAAGTCGCAGTTGGTGAAGCATATCAAGGACTTAACGACCCTCGATAATACATGTTTCTACTATAATGATAACAGTGTGTACGAAATTGAAATATATGTATATATATATATTAAAGACACACGTTTATCTATTTATATGTATATATGGTACGCCCGTCCATGGACCTAGGTTGTCTGACAATATATCTATATATATATACACATACACATACATGTGCGTGTGCGCGCAAGTGTGTCCTGGTTGAGAGGACTGACGGTCAGCCTTTGCACTTTCTGAGCGCCAGGCGCCGGAGGACGAGGAGAGGGAAGTGGAGGAGCTGCAGGGGTTGCTGCTACAGGCCGAGATGGCGCCTCGAGCCACGAACTCTTTTTTTCGGCGCAGCTGGGCGCTGGGGCCCCCTCACTTTTGTGGGCCCTTGTCGCGAAAACCTCCAGAAGGTGGTTCTGGTGTGCCGGAGAGTTGGTTTTTCCATGTCTGCAATTCTAGCCGATATCTCGATGTGTTGCACCTGTCCACTAAATCTATTCATTTCCCAAGTCAAGGTTTTGGGAACCTCCAGTGACCAGTTGTTGCTGTTTTGGGGAGGGGTGATGGGTCCCCTGAACCCCATGGCCACTGCGGGCCTGGGGAGGGAAGGGTTCTGAAAGTTACATTGGCGCCTTCGCTTTTAACCATTTTGAGCATAATTGTGATGGTGTCGCGTGAATGGAGAAGGTCGGCCACGATAAAAAATTGAGTAGCGGAAGGTTACACGCAGATGGGTTTGTGTGCGACCCAGGTGAAGAATGGTTTAACGGTGGGGGAACAAGGGGATTTTGATTAAGACGTTGTGTCCTCGGTGAAAACAAGCCTTGGCCACAGACTAAGTTGGGCAACAATGACGACCCACATCTCATGCGCAGTTTCCTGTTTTGAAACTGAATTGCCCTTCACACTTTGGGAGCTCGGCAAATGTTGCCCAGGTCGGTGTTTGGCTGGGGTCGGTTCGCTATTTGAAGCAACCGTCTAGTTAGGTTTTGGGGGGACCTTTCTTTGAGGTGGAGAGGGAAGCTAAAAGCAATCCCAACCATTTTGGGGGTCAGCCAAGTGGAGACACCCACATGTGGGAATTCGATTGGTGGCCACTGGCGACCATTGGTCGTGACGGAAGTATCAACCAAGTCCGACATAGCCGGGCGAAGACCTTGTTGGGCCGTCTCAAGCTCAATATTCAAGCATCAGCTTGCATCTTCATTCCGCCAAGGCAAAGCAGTCACCAGTTTGTTTTCCATTGTTAGTTTTACCTTCATCGGCACAGCTTGGTCAACAGGTAAGGCGGCGACCTTTCTCATGCCGGCGCTCTTCTTCTTGTTGCACTATTGGTCTAGTCGTTTCTCATTGACCCCCAGGCGGGTTGTGTTCGGGGAACGCGAGAAATCGTTTTGTGCCCTAACACCTAACACGGGCTACCGCTTGTTGCCTTTAAACTGCTTTCCTGGGTTGAGATCAATCCTCAATCCTTCCAGATCTGTCATTTGCTTAAGAATAGTTTTTGGTTGTCCCCTGCTGGTTTGAAAGGGAATCTATCACTACTGAACATATGTCCTTTCTTTTTCCAGGGGGCGAAAAAGCAAATGGAAGAGATGGTCTTTGGTTTCCTTGGCATCCAAGGACCTGGACGAAAAGGAGCAGCAGCTGGAGGCGCCAGCCGCCAGCGCTCACGCTGGGACATGGTTGACTCCTTGTTTTTTTGAGGGCATCTTGTTGTTTGCAGTTTGAAAGGAAAACCAAAAGGAAGGACACCATTTTAGGGTCCAAGAAAGAAAGAGACGCGCCCAGATGGTTGAATGTGGTTGGGTAGCATTTGATAGTCCACTTGTTGCTGTGGTGTTCCTTCTTTTTGGTGTGGTTTTCCTCTTGAACACGTGGAAATAATGCCGTTGCACAGCCAGGGCTTGTCCTGTTCCGCCTCAATGCCCTTTTTTCCTTGGAAGCTTGAAGGGATATCAAAAAGCCGCCATGTACTGCTATTGGCGATATCAGGAGCCTCTGCCTCTGCCACCTGTCATAACCAAATTAGAGTTCCGAAGTCAGTCCCCTAAAATGGAAAAGGCTTCCATTTGCTTAAACATATATGGCTTGATTCCCCTGGTGTTCAGGTGGAATCTATTACTACTGGACATGTTGTTCCTTCTCGTCCAGGGGACGAAGACGCAAATGGAAGGTTTACTTCACGCGCACCTGGGTCCGTTTTGAGCAACTCGAGATGACTCCGAGCCCAGGAGCAGTCGGCTCGGGTCCGGGACCTCTCCGCGGTCCTGGCGAAGCAGCAGAACGCCTGGGCCTCAACCAGCGCGATCACGGGGCGATGGATGCGATCGATTCGGTACGCCAGGGAAGCGGTGAGAGTAAGCCTGGTGAGTTAGTTCCCCACTGAACGGAGACTTGTGACCATGGTAAGTGGCAGTTTGGCGACCAAGAAGTGTTTGCAGACGGCTGTTTGTCAGCGGAAAAAGACTGGGAGAGACTACTTCGAGGAGCAGGGTAGTAAGCCTGGTGAGTTCTAACCCACAAAAAACATGGTTGGTTTACAAAGTCTCCGTTCAGTGAGTTACTGAAAACCAGGCTTACTCACCACTTACCTGACGTACCAAAAATCGCCCCTTTAAGTCCAAGGGGGTGATGTATTTTTTCAAGGGAGCCATAAAGAACCCCGAGGTGAGAAACTCCGCTTTGGGAGTCTCAAGTTCCGGAACTGCCTTGGAAGAGGTCCTTGTCTTGGACAACTTTATCAGATTCACTGAAGATGCGAGGGAAAACCCGGCTAAATGATGCCCGCTTGACCCAATGATGCCCGCTTGACCTAGAATCTATTCATTTGCCTAGGTTCCTCGCGTTGGCCGTATTTCAGGTGCAAGCCGAGACAAGCCAGGAAAAAGAGTCTTTTCTGGCTGGGTTAGACGGGCAGTTGATCAGACATCAGCTGATCACATATGCATGATACTGTTACAGCAATACGAGGAGCTACCATAGCCTTTAGAGAGCGATCAGCCAGTTGTGCTTGTTGAAATCAGAACCACTTTCCCTCAAGCACGCAACTTTGCTTGCTGATGCTCAGTATGAGGGATTGAACCCAGGGGGCCCCGTAAAGGAAACCACCCCACCAGTTGGATGGTTTTTCTCGTGGTCATCCATTTCTCATTCCCTGCCTATCTGCTTTAGTGAAAGATTGGGGCCAGTTGCTCGCCCAGGTCTTGGACTTGCACATCCGGCGTGAGTTGCTCTCGAAGTGTTCAGGGCACCTACGCCTGCCATGTGAGGGTTGATGAGTTGATGAATACCAGCCTGGTGACAGGGGACTCGCCCTCGCAAAATGTCCCATGGTTTTGCTTTGGGAAAGAAGTAAGGCTGACTGTCATGCCTTGCGGCCAGTTTTCGAAAAGTGAGCCTTTGTACCTTGGCTGATGTTCACGAAGGGCTTGTGGCTGTGGCAATGCCGATAATTTCAGCACGAAGTGACTGTGTCGCACCATGCCCACGCCATGCACTTTGACATGTCCAGGTCATCAGAAGAGACTCCTTTGTTGTTTTGCACACAGCCCGCCAACCCATCAACTTCACCCAGTTGTTCAGTGGTGCCCTTTTTTCCTTTGTTTTGGAAGGGTTCCGATTCCTTTAAACTCAAGCCTAAAAGGATGGCGGTTCTTTTTTTTCCCATGGAAATCCACTGGGCATTTGAGTTCAAGTCACATGTTTCTTGGTGGCTCCCGAAGGCCATCCGGTTCCTTAGCTTTTTAGCCTGGTGTTTAGTGGCAGTTTCCGTATTGAACCCACCAAAAGTTACCATCCCCTTAGCTTTTTAGCCTAGGGTTCGGTGGTAGTTTCCGTATTGAACCCACGAAAAGTTGTTCACGTTGAGCGAGGGAGCTGAAAACGGACAGCCCAGGTTGGAAGGCCTTCCAAGGACTCCACCGGAAAGCGGAGAGTCGAAACCCGTGGCAGGACGGCTGCGCAGCTGAACAGCCAGCGCGAGCAGAAGGAGTGCGTCCATGGGCAAAGGAAACCTGAGCATCATGGGGGCTTGGGGGGGAGGGAGGGGGGGGGGGAGCCCCAAGAAGCCCCCAAAAAGGCCGTATTCGGGCCTTAATCAGGGCTTGTTTGGGCTCCCCCTCCCCTCCCTCCCCTCCCCCCCAGCCCCCATGATAAGCAAGATTGGCGACCTTCAGGGTTAAGGTGGACTCCTTGGCTGGTGCAGTGTTATATGTCACCCAGCTTGACTCCAGTTTAGGACAGATGCTCCGCTGTTGGTTGATGCTTGAATGTGTCAATCGTTTGCTCTGTTGCGTGATAAATCGTGGGCTGGCCAAAAAGCGATATGTCTGCTCAGCAGTGATACGCGACCTCAACTTCATACGCACATGTTGCAGGGCGAATGGAGGATGATGCACTTGCACTTAGCTGGGTGCTAAATTGTCCATATTCGTTTATCTACCCAAAGAGAAGCCACACGGGGATGTGTAGTTCTTTAGTTGTCCCGACCACCACTTTGGCACCAAGTCTAGGTGAGCAAGGCAAACAGGATTACCGCTCCAGCGGTGTGTGTGGATCTCGAAAAAACCGCGCGAATAAGCAGCACCCCAAGCAACCATTCATGCAGTCGGTGCCCTGCGCAGCGCCTTCGGATGAAATCCTAGGTCCCCCAGCCCCAGCCAGGTGCCCTTGTACTAACTGTTTTGGGGGAGGGTTCCCCTACTAAAATGGACTACAGAAAAAAGGGTACCCTTATTCTAACCTCTCTACTGGAGGACGTAGAATCCATGAACTGTGTGTCCTTGGATGAGTTGGGTGTTGTGTCAAGTTGACTGTTCACATGCTCGGATGCTTCAACTGGTTTGGCGCGGCGGTTTTCGATGTTCTCAGCCTGTTTTGTCACTGTTTGCGTGGTTGCCCGTTGGCAGCTTAGCCAACCAGTCAGTTGGCATGATGTGGGGAGAAGATAACTCGTATGGGAGAATGGGAGTGTGGAAGAATAGGGGAATCCCCAAACCTGGGTGGTTTCCTTTTGCCTTCCCTTCGAAACAGCCCAAGACCGGGGTGTCCTCAAAGCGAATCAATCCCATGTGTGGCCACCCGTTTTCTGGTCGCCGCTGCACGCTGTGAGCTGTGAGCTGTCAGGAGTTGGTCGCCAAGCAAAACGAACAGCGCGCCGGCAAGAGTTGACGCATGCCTTAGCTGGTCGCAGAGTTCCCCTCCCCGGTACCTGGGACATGAACTTCCGCTTGGAGGACCCCCGGTCAAGTGCCATGTTAGTGGAGGGACGGTACGTGGTTAGCTAACCCCCACTTTGAATTAGTCCGCAGTTGACACGCATGCAACACCCTTGCAACTATGACAATGCACTATTTGGTTGACTCCGGAGTACTCCAAGACCTTTGCAACGTCTTCGAAGAAGCGGGTTGTAACCCAGCCAGTCAAAGGTCACTTTCCCTTTTCAGGTCCCTTTTGAAGTGCCCTCTGATCTTTTGTGAGCTAAGTCCCAACCTCCTTTGCAGAGTTTCCCAGCCAGAGAACTGCCAACTGGTTGTTGTCCAGTCGTGATGCTAGGTGCCAGGACTGTTCCTCCGAGTCCTGCCGCATGTGAGGAATGATTGTCTGTTTGGATGTTGCTTTGGACCCCCGAGGCCTGGAAGATAGCACGTTCCAGCAATGGATGAGAGGAACCCAGCAATGATGGGTTACATGCGTTGCTTGACGTGATCCACAAGGAACTTTGTGAACGGTTGGGTCGGAATGATTGCGTCCACTGCAACTTGCAAGATGTTTTTTGGATCACCACGGCCGTCCAAAGTGTGGACTGTGACACAACAAATGCCCCTCTCACGTCATCTCTTAAGCTAGGAGTGTTTTCGTTCAACCCTCCGCCCATGAAAGGTCGCTCATTTCAAAGGGCACAGCTGGAAGGGCATGTTTTGCTCTGCCAGAGCATCGCTGGACTCCTACCAATTCGGCATTGTGCTACAGAAGTGTGCGGCGGTGTTGCCCTTCTGGAAGCCACCTGCAGGTCACATTTGGAGTTGCCAAACCACGTGTCCCTACGTGATGTTTGGGGGTGTCGTTGGCGTCTTTCCTTGGGGCCGGGTAGGTTGGAGAAGGAACCACCCAGCATGCGCCCAATGTTTGAGCCAGCCTCCACCGGCCACAGACCCGCCCCAAAGCAACTCTAAAGTGACCCTGCGCTCGAATCAACCTGAAAGTCAATCTGAATTGTGGCATCCAGAGCTGCTTCAGCCCCAAATTCAATCAGTGCGACATTCAGGTAAGACTCCGCAGTTATCCACTAATATCCCAACAAAGTGCCAGGGAACTGTTTGATTTCCCTAGGTGATTTGCAGGAACCCACATTCTGATAGTGGTCCATGTTTTCTTTGTTTTCAATTCGCGTTCCTGACAAGAACACCATCGCGCAAAGGGCACCTAATGGCCACTGGTTGCTGGGCCAAGGCTCAATGAGGATGATTCCCCTTTGCAACTGAATGTTCATTTGAGATGCAGTATCACCCCCCCCCCCCCCCCAATCAAGGGAGAGAGGCATGAATGGTATAGCCAAGATACATTCGACCCCACCAGGCAACTTATACTTGTCTTTGGCTACCAAGCCGTCTTTGCAGATGGCTTTTTGCCCGCAAAAACTGGGAGAGACTACTTCAACCCGACGTACCCCATCGCCCCTCGCAGTACGGAACCGAATGGTTCATCATAGAAAGCAGCTACAGGAAATGTCTAGAGTAAATCCCCTGTTTTTTTCTGTTTTTCTCCCCCGGAATTTGGCCAAGTTCCCCCAGAGTTTCCTGCTGATGTCTCTGATTTGAGTTGTTGCACTTGGGGAATCCGCGGCTTCCGTGCACCGGGTGTCGCTCGGGTTTCGGGTTTCGTCGCTTCGCGTCGCCAGGCTCCTGGCGGTGACCGCGGAGAGGGCGCGGCTCAAGGAGGAGCGCGAGCTCCTGCGCCAAGAGGCGCGCCGTCCAGCGGTCCGAACCGACGTCGCGGGCGCGCGAGGGGTAGCGAGCGAGAGATGTTCGAGTTGGGAGGCGCAGGGGGGAAATCAAATGGAAAGAAGTTGATAGAAAAAAATAACAATGACAAAAAATGATGTTAATAAAAGATAGTTCCATTTGATTGATAAGAAGTTGATGCAAAACAAATGGAAGAGCAGAAGATGTTGAAAACAAAAAGAGAGATTCGTTTGAGTTGAAAGCCGACTAGGGTTTGTTTGTTTCGTGAGTCACAGGAAGCCTCAAGGGAGACCTAGAGCCTAGGACATTTTCGCAGATCCGAAAACGGACAGCCCAGAGTTGATAAACGCTGTGTTGGTAAGCAGAGGGTTTTGTGGAGCATGAGGCCTCAAGGAAGCCCTGCAAGCTTTAGGCCTTTTGGAGCTTTTGAGACAGATCTCAAAACAGCAGAGCAAGCAGGGGATTAGTTGGCTCAGCTATGAACAAGGTATAAGCAAAATCAAGCAAATATGGGTGTGTCTCTTGTTTTGAGGGTAGTGGCGAGTGCCCTGTTCTGGGTTGCTTTAATGAGAAACCAAAAGGAACACCCATTTTGCCGGTTCCCCTAAGAAAAGACAAGCCCATCACAAGGGCTCAGGATTTTTTTCGGTCAATACGGCGATAGATGTTTGAGCTGGACGCCGCGGCAGAGGAATGAACCCAATTTCATGAAAGTTGTTCAACGTTCAGAGTCATATCTCGTTATCAAGTCGCCGTGGTTTGAGCGCTTATATTCGAGGCTACGTACTCTCTTCACCAAGAGAAGAGGGAAGCCTCGTTGAAGGCAATGCTGCCAGGCGTCCTTCAAAGACGACAACATGGAAGGGTGTGTCATGGGAATTCGTTCAAGATAGCTTGTCATTTCATCATGTTCGATCCGTTAAAGCTTTGCTCAGCATGTTTGAAAACTTTCAAGCCTGAACTGAGAAATATCCAAGTAAATTAGTTATGAGCTCATTTTACCCCCAGGTTAGCTCGACTGATTTCTGGCAGACATGTTTGTGTTTGAGGGTACCCCTTTGTTTCTGACAGACAATTGCTTTCTTTGGAGGGTATACCTCTTTTTGGTTGGTCTCAATTTGGACACCAAACGGAACACCACCTTTTTTTTGGGGGGTGGGGGCCGGGGGTGGGGGTCCGGTGCTATGGACACCTGGAGTCTATTTTGCAACCAGCCGTTCAGTGTCGACATGTTGGGTCCCCAAGGACCCACCCCCCAAAAGAATCAACAAGAATCAATGGGTTGTCCGTTGGGTTTCCTTATAACATGGTTGTTGTTGGGAAACATCTTACATTTTCGCTTCTTGCGGTTTAGCGGAAATCCCCACTTAACTGCTAAAACTTAAATTGTTGCTCCCTCCCAACGTTAACCAAGATGAGACCAACTAACAAGGGGGGGTTCTCCACCATATGGCTGTGGCTCAAAAAACCGGTACCCAAAATGGAACTCTGGTAAGTGGAATGGACCAAAACCTGCGTAACCCCTCCTGTTCCTGTTCCCGTTCCTTGAGTTTTTGATGGACAGATATATTGACGGGAAATGAAAGGGAGAAGTGATCCATCTCTCTCCGTCGTATCCACACTTATCTCTATCCGTAGCCCCTCCTGTTTAATTTTGAGCCACACCATGGGTGTGTTTTTTTTGGGGGACCCCCCAAAATGAGTGGTTTCCTTTTGGTTTCCCTTTAAACCAACCCCAAAGAGGGTACCCTCAAAAACAGACACACCCCTGAGAAGAGTGACCGAATTGGGCCGAGCGAGGCCCAGAAATTTCGTGAGCTCAGCCATCAGCAGCAGAAAACCCTCCAGGAGAAGGAGCCCGGCGCGGGCCAGCGCCCTCACGAGAGCCGACGATGCCCCTTGTCTTGGTGCCCCTGCAAAGGGTATCCGCAAGAAAAGCGACTTTTATACTAATTATACAGTATAGCATGAAATGTGTTTAATATACATATATGCATATATGCTCACCCCCCCCCCTGCATGACCTACCTTTTTAGCTAAAAAAAGCAGGATCTCATCTATCATTTGCCCCTCCCTTCATCCCATCTGCCAGGCATCTATGCCTGCTTCGCTCTACTGCATCACACCTGTCGGGCTCCTAATGCGCTCTGCTGCACCACACCTGTCGGGCTCCTAATGCGGTATGTCTATGGTGCCAAACACTTTCACTTGAAATGCCATTGCAAGTGCTTTCGGTCAAGCTCTCTAGCTCTGTGATCTCAATCCTCTGCTCTGAAAGATGGTGGAGCCAGGCACCGTGTCCTTGGACGACATCCAGGGGCAGCTGGAAAACATGCAGCTGACGGATCTGTCCAGCTACATCTTTCAAGATGGCCCGGCGGGCACCATCAATTTTGTGGACATGCCGATCTACGATATGCCGGAGCAAGGCATGGTCAAGCGCGTGATCGACGTGGTCCCGGACGTCCCAGGGCCGATTCCTAAAGACCAACTTAAGGAGATGCTGCTTGCAGGCGGTCCGCTACACACGCTACCGGCACCCTTTGGCGTCGCCACAGAGACGCAGCTGCGCTTCTCATTCGACCTCGTGGTGCTCCCCCAAAACAATGACCGGTTCCTCGTGCGCAAGGTCATGAACATGAAGGACAAAGTGAAGGTCCCAACAGCCCGGCAGCTGTGCCATGGCAGGCCACACATGGTCTCATGGCGAAATCAGGTCCACACCATGCGCAAGTTCCTCTACTATGTCATTGAGAACTTGGGCGGCTTCCAGTGTAAGCAGCACTCTCTGCGGTGCAAGGAGGACGGCAAAGTCGAAAAAGACAAAACCCAGGAGGAATGGGACTTTGGCTTTGACTTCATCGAGAAAAACGGCCCGCGCGACAATGTCAAGAACAAGCAGCTTCGCTGGATTACCATCCAGACCTCTCGCCAGGAGTCCCCCATCTACAAATGGTCTGCAGTTCTAGTGGAAAAGAGCTTGAGGAACCTTGCCAATGATGGCGTGCTTGCGCAAGTCCATGAGAGCTGGCCCTTGACTCTGTACGACATCGATAACAGGCTGCTGCGAGCTCTTGCGCCCATGGTTCCCTCCTTGTCTGAGAAGGCTGTTGGGTTTCACGGTGAGCCTGGGGCGGGCAAGACACCGGTCGCCAGAACCTTGGCAATGGCTATCTCCGGGCAGTGCATCAACAAGCTTGGCAAGGATGGGCAGGCCACACCATCATTTTGTCAAGCCTCTGAGTTTGACTTCTTCAGGGGGCAGTCTGGGTCAATTGCCCGGCCGGACATTTTCGATGATGGAAGTTTGTCCGAGCAACCCTTCAAGAAGGTGAAAGCCTTTACCGAACATTGAGAGCATGTCCAAAGAACGGTGGGGCGCCGCCAAATGGGTCAAGGGCCAGTTCCGTGTGTACTGCGTGAATGACTTCGATGGCAAGGCGGAGCCAGAGGACGATATGCCCATCATGTCCAAGAGGGCAGGGCAACCATCTTACATAAGCCACACCGCTTTCATGCAGATGTTGGAGCCCGCGTGGTACGCGAAGGAGGTGAACGAGAGCAACATCATGGCTGTGCTCAAGCGGACCCACCTCTTTGTGAACACCAAGAGCTTCTTGTACATCCGCCCTGCAGGTGAAGACAAGCAGCCGGTCCTCAGGAAGCCCTTGAATGACAAGACAGACTTCCTTGTGGATGAGTCCCGTGTCATCTATGACCGCCATCGCAAAGGCGCCACGGATTTGCCTGCGGACTTCGAGACAAAGTTGCGGTGGGAGAAGAAGTGGATGGAGGCCGCAATGTCCAGGAAGACCGGAGACGCTTTGCCTACAAGAACCTTCGTCAAGAACACGCGTCTGTTCCCCGAACTGCACGAGAACGACGACAAGGAGGAATCCAAGGTCGACGGCATGTATTCTTCCTCCAAGGTAAGTGTCAGCGTGGCCGAGAGTCTTGGAGAAGAAGCTGCGTCCAGCATGCCCGTCAAGGTCAAGAAGGAGATCATTCCGTGGCCAAAGCTTGTAGCTGGCAAGAAGCCCATTTGCATCGATATCGATGACACACCCCCAAGGAAGATCCGCCGCGTGGAGAAGCCTGAGGAAGCTTCAGAAGAAGAGAAGAAGCCATCAGAACAGGGCATGCCAAGTGACAAGCCAGAGCTTGGAGACGCTTTGCAAGTTGAGGCTAATAATGAGCCTTCGGCGGTGTGAATGCTTGGGCCGATGTAGAAGCAGATGAGGTGGATCTCGGCAAGGAGGAGGTCGAGAAGCCCGAGAAAGCGATCCAGTGGGAGCAATGGGGAGGCATTGTGGAGCGAGGCCGTCCCAGCACAATGATCCTCAATCGCTTGAAGCCCGCGTTGACAAAAAAAAGAGCCCCAGGACCAGGCGCCATCCGTCGTCGAGACTGGGAGCCCATCGCCCGCAAGCACCTGTCAGGTCGACGGGTGATCTTGCACACGGACGGAGCCCGGGCATACAAAGTGCGGCTACCCGATGTGATCCATGACAACGTGGTGCGCAAGAAGAAGCGGGTCGTTGTGAATGGCAAGAAAGTCTGGATTAAGCCGCACTACACGAAGGTCTTCAAGCACAAGCTTCCGAGTGGCAAGACAATCTCCGTCAAAGGCGGCACGCAAATCATAGACAGGTTTTGGGGCCAAGTCCGGACATCTTTGCGAGACATCTCACGGAAACCAAGTAGCAAGCTGCTGGAGCGCAAGTTGAGGTCGGCTCAATGGGCCTATTGGCATCAGAGGCAGAACTTGTGGAAAGCCACTGCTGCCATGTTGCAGGACCTCTTCTGAAATCTTGCAGCGCAAAGCATGTATGAACGGCGCGTGAAAAGACTTCCGTGCTCGCGCTTAAAATCAAGAAGCAATCCATCTGGCATCTGCATCTTCTTGCGTCACACCTGTCAGGCATCTGCTCGGGCGTCTCCTTTTCCTGCACCGCAAGGCACCTGGCAAGCATCTGGGCGCGTCGCTAGACCCTGTGTGAGAAAACCTCGAGAAAACCAAGAACCCAAGAACCCAAGATTTTCAGGTAGATGTCTGGCCCACGACAAAATCTTGGATTCTTGGTTTTCTCGAGGTTTTCTTGGCTTTCCTTGTTTTACTTTGGAATTCTTGGTTTTTTTGCTGGAAATCCAAAAAACCCCTAGTAAATCTTGGTTTTTTGCTGGAAATCCAAAAAAACACTAGTAATTCTTGGTTTTTTTCTGGAAATCCAAGAATTCCCAAGTAAAATCAAGAAAACCAAGAAAACCTCGAGAAAACCAAGAATCCAAGAATCCAAGATTTTCATGTAGATGTCTGGCCCACGACAAAATCTTGGATTCTTGGTTTTCTCGCGGTTTTCTTGGTTTTCCTTGTTTTACTTGGGAATTCTTGGTTTTTTGCTGGAAATCCAAAAAACCCCTAGTAAATCTTGGTTTTTTGCTGGAAATCCAAAAAAACCCTAGTAATTCTTGGTTTTTTGCTGGAAATCCAAACAAACCCTAGTAAATCTTGGTTTTTTTGCTGGAAATCCCAAAAAACATAGTAATTCTTGGTTTTTTGCTGGAAATCAAGAATTCCAAAGTAAAACCAGGAAAGCCAAGAAAACCTCGAGAAAACCAAGAATCCAAGATTTTGTAAAGGACCAAACATCTACCTGAAAATCTTGGATTCTTGGATTCTTGGTTTTCTCGAGGTTTTCTTGGTTTTTTGCTGGAAATCCAAAAGCCCTAGTAATTCTTGGTTTTTTGCTGGAAATCAAAAAAAAACTCAGTAATTCTTGGTTTTTTGATGGAAATCCAAGAATTCCCAAGTAAAACCAAGAAAACCAAGAAAACCTCGAGAAAACCAAGAATCCAAGATTTTGCAGTGGACCAAACATCTACCTGAAAATCTTAGATTCTTGGATTCTTGGTTTTCTCGAGGTTTTCTTGGTTTTATGTGAAAAATGCTAAAAAACCTAAGGTATTCTGAAGGTTTTACTGCAAAACCATCAAAAACCTAGGGAATTCTTAGTTTTTGACTTAGGGATCTATCTGAAAAACATATCAGTTTTTACACTTGTTTTTTTTGAATGCTTTCCTGTTTTTCTTAAAAAACCATGGTTGTTTGCACATGTTTTGCTAAAACCATCAACAAACACTGGTTTTTCTTAATTTTTCAGTGGTTGACTGTGTTGTTTTTTAATCGAAAACCATAAAAAACATGTGTTTTTTTTACTTTTTTATTGTCTGCTAATGGTCCCCAGCGACTTATTGAAAGACAACGGTAGGTCATGCAGGGGGGGGTGAGCATATATATATATATATATATATATATATATGGTCCCGTGTCCCGTGTTGCTACCCATATGGTATGGGTCCTCCAGGACCCCCCCCCCCCGGCCGGAGACCCCGAGCCCTGGATCGTCACCTACGGTCCCACCCCCACCCCAACTCCCTGAACTCGCACCCCGACACCCCGGCACCCCCACCCCCAGGACAAGCCAACCCACAACCAACCATAAACCAACCCTAAACTAACCCTAAATTACCCCGGCACGAGACCCCAAACAGTGATAGGCGGTCACACGCTGCAGAGTATTGTGCGGGCAGCGCCGCAAAACGGCGGTTGTTGTCAGGAAGCTGCAACATCATTTTGCGGTATTTGCGCGCACATTCACAAAGACAAGGACACGGCCTGGAACAGACACGCGCAAGAGAATGCAGCAGACACGTGTCGAAGCCAGCGCCATGGTCGTGTGTGTGTCTGTGTGTCTGTGTGTCTGTGTGTCTCTGTGTCTCTGTGTCTCTGTGTCTCTGTGTCTCTGTGTCTCTGTGTCTCTGTGTCTCTGTGTCTCTGTGTCTCTGTGTCTCTGTGTCTCTGTGTCTCTGTGTCTCTGTGTGTCTCTGTGTCTCTGTGTCTCTGTGTCTCTGTGTCTCTGTGTCTCTGTGTCTCTGTGTCTCTGTGTCTCTGTGTTTCTGTGTCTCTGTGTCTCTGTGTCTCTGTGTCTCTGTGTCTCTGTGTCTCTGTGTCTCTCTGTCTCTCTGTCTCTCTGTCTCTGTGTCTCTGTGTGTCTGTGTCTGTGTCTGTGTGTGCGTGCGTGTTAGTGTGTTTTCATGTTGATTGCGAAACGTGTGTGGGAGTAGAGACACATGCAGCACCAAGAACAAAAAAGGCGCACAGGCATGGCCAGCAGGCATGCTCGTTTTTCTTCCATGAGCAGCACATATCGGTGAGACGGCAGAATCGCAGGACAGGGCTGCTGGGATGGATTCGTTGCACTGCGCGCAGCCGCAGCAGGCCAGTCTGTTGGTAGATGCAAAGGCGCTGCGGTCAAGGCGTGGTAGCTTGTTGCTGCAAACAGCCGACGCGGCGCACGCAGAGTGCTAGTGGCAAGCTCTCGCAGCACAGAAGCGTTATCAAGGCAGGCCCAAGGACTGGGCTGTTTGGCTCGGACCCTTCCACAGCAGGCGTGTACATAAAGCGCGCGCTCCCAGATCGCAGGGCACACAAGAAGGCGTCAAACTCATTTGGCGCCATGTTATCGAGGCAGTTCATGCGGTGCAGCGCTGCAAGGGGCGGCAGGCCGCGAAGGCGCGGATGTTGGTCGATCCACTGTTGCATGGCAGCTTCGTCTGCACAGCGGAAAGAGTTGTCAAAGAAAGTCGGCAGGCGGATTTGTGCATGGATCCACTCGCGCGGACAGGGCGGGAGTCGAGCCAGGGACAACCCGTGCCGCCGGACCACGAGACAAAACCCCCACGGTCCCGGAGCCGCCAAAAAAGCAAAAAAATCGAGTTTGTGCGAGCCTGCGCAGCCGAAACGCACTTGTACATCAAGCAAAAGCAGGAATCTGCGGTAAATACCACGCGAAACGCTCGCGGACAGAAGTCGACACCTCACTTTGTGCGAGCCTGCGCAGTCGAAACGCATTTCAACATCAAGCAAAAGCACGAATCTGCGGCACATACCACGCAAAACGCTCGCGGACAGAAGTCGCCAACTCACTTTGTGCGAGCCTGCGCAGTCGAAACGCACTTCGACATCAAGCAAAAGCACGAATCTGCGGTACATACCACGCAAAACGCTCGCGGACAGAAGTCGCCAACTCACTTTGTGCGAGCCTGTGCAGTCGAAACGCACTTCGACATCAAGCAAGAGCACGAATCTGCGGCAAATACCACGCAAAACGCTCGCGGACAGAGCGGGCACCTCAATCTGGCACCAAGGCCTTTTCTCTTACCGTAAGAACCCCTTAGTGTAGACACACTGTTTGGGGAACGAACCCTAAACCAAACCCTAAACCGTAGACCTCTAAACCTAAACCAACCCTAAATCAACATAAACCAACCGTAAACTAACCCTAAACCAACCCTAAACTAACCCCAAACACACCTTAAAGCAATCCCTAAACAATAAACCCTAATCCTAAGCCAACCCTAAACCAACCCTAAACTAACCCTAAACCAACCCTAAATACACCCAAAACCAAACCCTAAACCGTAAACCTAAACCAACCCTAAATCAACATAAGCCAACCCTAAACCAACCCTAAACTAACCCTAAATACACCCTAAGTATACCCTAAACCAATTCTAAACCAACCCTAAACCACCACAACCCAACCACAGGACCACAACCACAGGGGGGGGGGGGGGTACTTGCCTGACCCATGACCATTGGTGGGGGGGGGGCTGGCAACGCTGTACCATATATATATATATATATATGTATATATACATATGCATATATATCTAGACATTTTGTTTGTTATGTATTGTATGCATGTTGCTTTGACTTGCCCATGTGGCGCAACAACTTGGGGCCTGAAGGTTGAAGCCAAAGAGAGCTTCCAACAACAAAGCGGTGCTACCGGCCAGGAATGTTTATGTAGTTGTCGCCTTTGTGTGTGTGTCTTTGCTCAGCCACTTGTCATTCAGGCACATATCTAGGTGTCAAGCTTTCACTGCAGAAAGTTCACTGCAACTGATCTTGCGTTGCGTTGACCTGGAAAGACTGGCAAGTAATACCCGCCTAAAACACGAATCCCCCAAGGTGAGCAAATCGAATGGTGTTGCCAGTTCCTTCCAAAGCAAAGGACCTTCAACTCGCTGGTTGTAGGGACCTTGCCAACGCCATCATTGCTGATCTTCAGCTGTCACAGTTGTGGCGCGCAACCAATGCCCAGCTGTCATCCATACTTTGCTGCAGGATCTCAACCTGGACGACTTTGTTCTTTGCCAAAGGGGGCACCCCTTCCCGTGTGTCCACCTATCAGGTCTATGTTGCAACATTTCCTCTAGAGAGGGGACGTGCCAGCGGTTTAAACCCTACAAAAACAGGTTGGTGCAAACCCCCAGCGCTCACAACAGCCCTTTCTAGAGAGGGGGACAGTTGCCTAAATAGACTCTAAGAGTCCATGGCAACCACCGCCCGCCCCCCCACCCCCAATCCCCAGCCTCCCCCCTACCCCCCCATAGGAGGGGCAGCTTGCGGCTGCGGCGGCCTCGCTGACGAAGCAGGCCTCCTCGCTGCAGCAGAGGCACGTCCGGAAGGGCGGTCCAAGCGGCGATCGATTTGCTATGGTTCCTGGGATAGTTGGGAGGGGAAGGGGTTGGGGATGGTTTTAGAAGAAGCGGTTCTAAAGGGGCCTGACCAATTCCCAGGCGATTTTTCATCAGGCAGAACGAACCATCAGCGAAAGTGGGATATGCCCCACTTGGAGCATTGTATGTCTGGTAAGTGGTGATTGTATGCCTGGTGAGTTATATCCCACAAAAGCCGTGGTTTTTGCAGTCTCCGTTCAATGGGGAATTTCACCAGGCTTA